AAATTCTGAAATTACAATGAAATGCTGTTGCTAATTGCCATCAAGCTAACCTCAGGCAATAGTGGCCCTATGAATTGGAGACCTCCACATCACCCTGTTATCAATAGCAGATTCAGGGCCATGGCTTCTATCCACCTGTGTAGTGTTACCTTCCTCTTTTCCTACAACCTACTACCTTACCAAGCATTAGTATGTTTTGAAATAGGTCACGTTCTCTCATGAATGTCCAAAGTTCAACAGTCTCAGTTTTGTCATCTTTGCTTCTAGGGAGAGTTCAGGATTCATTTATTCTTGGATTTCTTTATAGGTCTCATTCTTTTCCTATTTCTTCACTGTCCAGCTTTCACAACATTACATAGAAATCAGAAATACAATGGTTTGGATAATCCTGGCATTGACAGTCAGTTATCTATGTTTATACATGAAGATTTTAGCTGCATTTGCACTGCAGAAATAATGCAGTTTGACACTATTCTAACGTTCATGGCTTAGTGCTTATGGGATTTGCAGTTTTGTGAAATATTTAGCCTTCTCTGTCAGAGAGCTCAGTTCCACAAGAAACTTCAAATCCCAGGATTTCATAACACTGAGCCATGACATTTAAAGTGGTATCAAACGGTATTATTTCTGCAATGCAAATGCAATTTCTCTCTCTCTCTCTCTGTTTGTGTGTGTGTTTCCATGGTGTGTTACTCTGTTTCTCTGCTGGCTAAGGAGGAAGAGAAGCCATGAAGATCCTGAATTTCTCCCATCTCTCAAGAACTCCAGCAGGCTTCACAAAGTTTAACAAGCTGAAAACATTTTTTGCAATGTCCTATGGAGAGGTTTTGGAAACACAGCCTGTCCACAGGAGGTATTGTGGCATTCTTCATATTAGGCTGATGCCCATAATAATGGATGAAAATCCATTTTTAATAGTGGCTTGACATTTGAGAAACGTCCATTTATTGCCCTCAATTGTCTCACCGAAGCTTTCAACTGATGGCCACTCAGCAAATAGCATTCAGGAACAAAGTCAATAGCTCCACAAGTGTCATTACAGAAAGAGAAGTATGATAGATTGGAATGTCCCCAGTGTAAATGCTATTTTGGCTTAAGAGAGGTCGAAGGATGGTCCTTGTTTTAGATTTGTATTTGTATGAAAAGCAGGTTCTCATGTGAAATGAGAAGTATATTCATCATTTCCCTGTGTCTTTATTGGGCGTGATGCAAGTGAGAAACAGGACATATTACTATGTCGCAATGCTTCAGACTATGTTGTATTTGTCCCTTGCTGGTATTCAGTACTGGAGTTACAGATTTGTAGCCTAGGCTGCATCCACACTGCAGAAATAATCTAGTTTGAAACCACTTCAACTGCCATGGCTCAGTACTATAGAATTCTGTGAATTATAGTTGTTAACAGAGAACCAGTATGGCATAGTAGTTTGAGCACTGGATGATGACTCTGGAGAATGTTCCTGTTCAGCCATGTAAAAACCCATTGAGTAACCTTCGGCAAGTCACATTCTCTCAGCCTCAAAGGATGGCAATGGGAACAACTGCCCAACTGCCATGCATCCAAGACAAGGACCTCACATAGGCACCTGAGAGGTCACATCTGCCTCTACAATGAATTAGCAGATTGAAAGGCTAGGCTTAGGAGCTGCAAAGCAGGACATTCACACCTAGGAGATTTATGAGTACCAACCAGGATGTGTCTGGCTAAGAATGAGATAACATCAATGCCCCATTTCCCCTCATTGAAAATTGTCTACTTCAAAGACAACCTATCCAGAATCCTTTGATATACAATAATCAAACTTTGCCCCAGGCTATCTTCAGCCTATATTAAGACCTCCAAATCTGTGTTCTGAGAGCTAGTTTTTAGAAGGGAAGGGGGGATCTCATGCCCTCTCTGAAAACCAGTCTCCCTCAGCTGCCTCCAGCACAATTTCACTCCTGAAGCAGCTGAATCCGTCTTCACTACGGGAGTGTAGAGTTTCTAGGTAACTATTCTGTGTGTGAAACCTTTCTTACAGATTCCATGTATTCTCTGTGTGTATGTGTGTGCTTGCTCATTGATTTATTTTTCTCCCTTAATAAAAAATACCATTCTTTGGAAGAATGCTGCTCCTGCAAAGGTCCTCTCACTTTCCCCTCCCTGCACACATAGGGTTGTGATTCTGCTTACTAATTTTGAGCTAATTAAAAATTCCCCAAGGTCAAGTTCTTATTGCACACAACAACAACAACATAGTTGTGGCACTGACAGAGAAGACTATGTCTCACATACTTAGAGTTCCCAGAATTCCACAGCACTGAGCCATGGCAGCTAAAATGGTGTCAGACTGGATTATTTTTGAAGTGCAGATGCAGTCCTACAGTTATGGATTGGTAAGCAGTCTAGTATTAGGAGGAATTGCACATGCAATCTTGATTCAGACTGTTACAAAGTAGATCACTGGTGGGAAGGAGTGGGAATGCCAGGGTGTTGCTCAAAGTGGCAGGATTGGGAGACACAACATAGCTATGTGACTAAGACAGTTACATAGTTAAGTATCTGATCTAGAATAGGTACTCCTTTTATCCAAAATGCTTGGGACAAAAAGTGTATTGGATTTCAGATTTTTTTGGCTTTAAGAATATTATGCATATACTTAATGAGATATCATGGAGATGGAGCCCAAGTTGAAACATGACATTTATTTATTTTTCATATACACCTCATACACATCTTCTGAAGGTAATGTTATAAATGATATTTTAATAATTTTGTGCATGAAGCAAAATTTATGTACTGAACCATGAGAAGGAGAGGTGTCACTATCTCAGGGCCTAAGCAGACTGGCAGCATGGGGCTGCCCTGGGAAGGTGCGCCGCGGGACCGAGGCATCCCCACACCTTGATCCTGCGGTGCACCTTCGCCGCCCCTGAAAGGAGCGCTAAAATAGTGCTCCTTTCACAAGTCAGCGAAAGTGTGCCACAAAAGGTTGCAGCGCACTTTCGCTGACTTTTCCACTGCAGCGTGTCCGGACGCTGCGGCTGGAGGTTGTCCCCAGAGTGCCAGCCGTGCGGAGGGCTGGCAGCTCCAAGGACGACCTTGGGAGGAAGAAGGGGCACTGAGCATGCGGCTGCCCCTCCCCTTCCTTGCCCCGAGGATGGCTTTTTAAGCCGTCTGCTGAGGCAGTCAGCCAATCATGTGGACAATTTTGTATTTTGGAGTATTTCAGATTTCAGAATCCCAGATAAGGGATACTCAACCCATGCTAACCCAATTTTTTATAAAGTCACCCAACAGGAGCAATGCTTTCAAGAATGTGAGAATGAAATAAATAAAGATTTACATCCTCATGCCTTGCACTAGAAAGTGATCACTAAAACAGTGAGATGTATCTAGACTTATCATACTTAGAATAAATAAGTAATTTATTCTCTGTTAATCTCAATTTACTCTAAGACTTTGGATTCAACTAATGATTCCATCCTGGTTGCAGAGACTGTACTAGAAAAGGAAATATATTATATCCACAGTCTGTTACATAGACTAGGATTATTAGTTATACATGAATAAATACATACAGGGAAGGAGGAGGGAGAGCAAGAAGTGGCAGGACAGACAGTCCTATTGGAAAACAATTACTTAAAGTGCTATGAGGCAGAAAATGAAATAAATAATCAAAAAGCACATTTGTTTAGCATGCTTGTGGATGACAGAGAATGTGCTGATATTAAAAGAACAATATTTTGGCTGAGAGACCTAATCTCCTTTGGAAAGATAAAATAAAAAAAATAAAAAACTATCTTGTGTCAAAAATCAATAAAATACTGTTTTAATATCTTTGAGAAACTTAGCAAGTAAAAAAATTACATTGAAGCAGATGAAAGATCAAGATCATTTGTGGTAGAAAAATATAAGGAAATACAGTCCCAGACTTTCATTAGGCACTGATGTTAAGAGGCAACTAGTATAAAAATAATAACCAGAAGACAGATCACACCTGAAAACCTGCACAAAATTATGGTTATCTAAAATCCCTAATGTACAAAATATAAAATAAGTGTAGGAACATTATTTAATTTCTAATGGACTTGACTAGCTACTAAGAAATAATTGGTCTGATTTTAAGCATGCACTTAATATAGAATAACTCAAATGTAGAAATGGGAAAAATATTTTAAAATTTTCAGAAAATAGTTTTTAAAAAACATGTATTTCAGTTGAGAAACCCTGATGAAAAGAATCCTAGACTGACAAGAAATTTGTGCAAAATTCACACAGGGTTGTTTTGTGCAGAAAGCCCCATCTTCTGCAGGAAACAGCATTTTCTGTGTGGAAAATAATATTTCCACACAGAAATATTAATTCCTGTGGAGAAAATGCTGTAGATTTTGCACAGAATAAGAACCAAATTCTGAGTAGCCTGCAAAAACGGTGAAGAATTTCTTGCAGTGGGAAGAAAATTGCAGAAATTACTTATCACTACATTTTGAGAAGAAATTTAGAGAAGAATTACATCCCTTCTCAAGTGAATGGAACATTAGAACTGGCTGTTTTTTTAATTTTAATTTTACTTGCTAATCTATTAAGAAAGCATATGTAACTGACACAGAGCACTATTTTTAATATGCTCCTGGCTGGAATAACCCTTTATGCTTATCTGCAGAACAGCCAGACTTTCCTGGTGCCAGAATGCCTGGAAAAAATCTAATAGAGGACTTAAGTATTGTTGCAACTCTCTAGCATTTCCCTCTTGTTGCTGTCAGCATCTTCTAGAAAGTGATGATAGAGCCACTTCTAGTGAGAAGACATTATCAGGACCTCCCATCTATATCTAAACCTTGGAATTCAGCAAAAATTGTGACAGAAGTCATTGGCTAAGATTCTGCAAAAGGTTTGCTGATGTTGTTATGTGCCTTCAAGTTGTTTCCAACTTATGGCGACCATAAGGTGAACCTATCATGGGGTCTTCTGGGGCTGAGAGTGTGTCACTCACCCAAGGTCACTCAGTGGGTTTTCATGGCTGGGCAAGAAATCGAACCCTGAGCTCCAGAGTCATAGTCCAACACTAAAACCACTACACCACACTGGCTCGCCTACAAAAGGTTACATAGAGTTAATCTCCACATGTGGAATTAGGCACTGATTGTGCTATGCAAGACTTGTGTTGACTGGCAAGATCACACAGCTGAATGCACACCCATATGTGCAACCAAATACAGAATTCTTTGTGCATCTGTGTACATGTGCATCAGCACAGAAATTGGCATCACAGACACAATCCCAATTACACAATTTTGAATTGGATGAAAACATTCTACATTCAGATAAAAATGCCCAAAGACTTATTTAGAGGAACTTATGCATGTGTAAGATGTCAACCAAATTCCAGCTATTGTGAGCTTTTTGACCTATTACTTTCATCTTCTTTGTTACTTGCTAAGTATCAAGTTGAAGTTATTTCATTGCAATACTTGTCTTTATTCAGTGCTGTTTGTCTTCTCTGAATTCATTGCTAGGTTCTGTAAAATACCCTTGCCAAATTTGATACATTTTAATAAACTGATCTTTAATTGAAACTTCTTTGAGCACTATCCATTCCAGTGTAAGGAACAGAGCTGGCCCTATCATTTTGGAGAGTGAAGCAGCTGCCTCAGGTGGCAGAAACTGCATGATATGGAGGGGGTAGAAGTAATAACCCAATGTCTATACAGTAAAGTTGTAGTAGGGGGGCAGAGTTGTGGATTCAGGAAACCTGCCCAGGTTGCCATGACCCAACCTGACAGGTGAGGTGGAAGATGGTGTCATTTCAGTGTAGACTGAGCAGAGAATTGATGCCACAGGAGCAAAATGTCTTGGGAAAATGTTTCCGGTGCTGATGTCCAATCTGTATGTATATATATATATATAGATTAATACTTTCATATGAAAACTAGAAAGACTATTACTTCTGTCCAAGGAGTCAAACTCTTTCCCCATTTAAAAAGCTCCTCTTGTTAAGCTGATACTCTCCATGGCACACATGACTATTGTCCAGTCTGCAGTAGGATGACCTCTTCTTCCCCATCATTCTTTCCCTTTTTTCTTCTTCCCTCCTTTCCTATTGCTTACAATGTTTTTCTCCCTTTCTTTCATACAAGGAATAGTCTAATCTCCTTGCTGAGAGCCTTTCATCTGTAGTTTGGAGGACTGTGTTTTTCTTCTATTGTGAGCCACTGAATGGAGAGGAGGGCCTCCAACTCAAGACAAAAATAAGTATTTGAAATCCATTTGGGCTTTTAAACAATCAAAGCTTTTTCAACAACAACAAAAATCTTTTTCTGTGTGTATCTGTGTGTGTGTGTGCGTGCATACCTCCAATTTGGAGCATGCTTTTATTTTGAACCTCTTCTATTAGCCACACAGGCCTGTGACGGAGTGCTCAAATGTGATGACACTTGAAAGAGCTTGCTTGTATTCCTAGAGAGAATGTGTAGGCTTTTGACTTCTGTTTTCTTCTCTCTCCCCCATTTCTTGGTGCTGGGTCTTTTGACTATTTATATCCTGTCCTTTTTAAACAAGGATTCAAGGACTGGATGAGTAACTCTTTGTACCAGATTGAACCAACGGGGGAAAAGAACCCCCAACTACAAGCCATTTCAAATCCACTGCTTCTTCCACTAGCTTTTCAGAGCTGTTCAAAAGGTTCAGCAGCATTTCTTTCCCCGATAAGCTTCAAACAGAAAGTGACAAGTCCTCTTTTTACTTATTCTTGCCTTGGCAAGAATGATCAACAGCCCCCCTTCTGCATAAAACACACCTTCATGCTTTTCTCTGCCCTATTGCTTCTGGTCTGAATATTTCCAAGGTTGCTCTTTAATCTTGGGTTTGCAGCCTCACAATGCACCATTTGAAACTGGAATAGCAAAGCAATATAAAACTGTATAGTGGAGCATTGTAAGGCTAGAAATAGAAGATTCTGTAACTTTTATACAATTGTTGAGAGATGCAGAAGAAGGAAGCAATGCTTTGTTGTTGTTAGCTGCCCTCGAGTTCTCTGGATGAGACATCTCCAAGATTCCCTCCCCTCAACCTCAGGTCCTACAGGCTCATCCCTGTGTCCTTCCTAATAGTAAAAGTACTACAAAATAATAAAAAATATGCTACTTTTCCATATTTATTCATTTATTTAAATATTTTCATCCCACTATCTAATGAGGGTGGCATGCAATTATGACAATATAAACAATTTAAAGCAATCCTCAAATAAAAACAATAGCATAATTTAAGCAGTAACATTGTAAAGGAAAATCTGTTGAGAGTTAATACATTCTTGGGATCCCTCCCCCCAACTGAAACCTCATCACCTACATGTCTCACCTATGGGTCAAAAGAACTACTTATTAGATTTCATCTTCAATAATGATTCTTGAGTCATACCTTCTTTTATTTTTTTAAGATATTTTATTTTATTTTATTTCCAGTTTATCTTTGCTCAAGAAGCTGGGTTTGTACCAAAAAGCCTTATTAGTTATTGTACTTGTGTTTCTCTTCAAAATTAGTCTTTGTTGTTTATTTTAAAAGGTTTGGGGGGTTGACTGCTTAGTATGGTAGGAAGATCAAGTGTGGGTGAGAGAGTACTTTGGGGCCAGAAAGAGAATATTAAGGGCCCTTTCACACTGCACAATTATGACACTATGTCCCTGTCTGCACAGGCCAAATAAAATGGCCTCCCTTCATCCTCTCTGTAGAGAGATCAGATGACTTAAGGACCAAGTCCCGGTTCTAGTGCAAACAGACCACATAACATCTGGCCCATTCAGCACCAGAATTGGATTGTACTCCTCTTAACACACATTAAAATACATCAGCCTTTGCTACAGATCTTCCCAGAATATCTGGAGCTCTCCATTCCTGCATTAGGGCTGCTTTCTGTACATATGTCCTGCCAAGCCACCTAGCGTGGCCACTGTTGTTGTCAGCTGCTCACTCTGAGGTCAAATGAGATGTCCAGTCATGTGATCATTGCTGGACACCTAGTTCTCACCTCAGACTGAAGTGACCTGTGGTGGTAGTGTTGGCATATTAGCATCAATACGTGTGTGTAGCTCTATGTTTTTCTTTGAGAAGGGGCAGTGTCATCTACACAGAAACACTGATTTATTCCTATGGTCATTTGGTTGATGTTGTTGGGAAGAGGTCACTTTCCATACCCCTCCTCTTCCTGGGAGATTCTTCCTGAGGGTAATAAAGTTTTATGATTCTTTGTTTTCCCCAGAGTGAGCCTGCCTGCCTTCTTGCAAGCATGGGTGCAGAAACCATGCTCTCCTCTTAAAGATGTTTTTCTTCTTACTTGCACACATGGGGGTCAGCTATCTAGGGACCTCTGTTCCAAAGTATTGTTTTCTCTACTAATTAGTTGTTTTTGTAGTACCTAGATGTAATAATAAAGTAAGTTTCTTTTTACCTACCAATATATCCTGTTTATTTACCAGAAGCTCAGATCTAGTTGTTTTTACCAAATACCTGTGGAGAACACACTGATTGCTGTGTTGTCGCTGCTGCTGCTGCTAAACTCATTTAACTACAAAAATAACCAAACCATCATTCTAACAAGTAGCAGATACACTATTCACATGTGAACAACCACCCAACATTGGAAAGGAGGGCTAGATAACAGGGGGAGCTTGGGTCAGTTCCAGGGCCAGGATACTCCAGGCTGCCCCCAGAGTATCCTGGCAGGTGCAGACAAGATGCAAGATTTCACTTTAACTGCCATGGTTCCATCATACGGGATTCTGGGGTTTGTAGTCTGGTGGCAAATTCTAAATGCCCATCCCTAACTGCTAGTTCCAAAAATATTACCATGGCAGCATTAGAGAAGGAAGGAAGGAAGGAAGGAAGGAAGGAAGGAAGGAAGGAAGGAAGGAAGGAAGGAAGGAAGGAAGGAAGGAAGGAAGGAAGGAAGGAAGGAAGGAGGGAAGGAAGGCAAGCAGGCAAGCAAGCTCCTATTCTGAAAGTTCTTCCTTTTTATAATAAATTAATATTATAGCTTAGGGATGGAAAGAATATTTTAAAAATAGTCAAAATATGTTTTCTAAGTGTTGAGAAACTCTGACAAAAAGAATCCCGGATTAACAATAATCTTCACAGATTCTGTGAAAAATCTGCAAATGGTTGTTTTGCGCAAAAGTATTTTCTGCTCAGGAAACACATTTCCTACACAGGAAATAGTAGTTATAGGCAGAAAATGCAGTTTTCTATGCAATGCATGGTTTTTGTGCAGAATAGCCACTGTGAATAAGCTTCAGAAACTGCAGTTTTTAAAGACATTCTTCTAACAGCAAGAAAATAAATAAATAAAATTACTTGGAGAACAAATTTAGTGAACAATTACACCCCTGTTATAATGGTGGTGATAATGATGGAGGTGATGGTGTGTGGAGATCTAATAAAAGCATGGAAATCAGAAACAAAATGGAAGAATGGTAAATTGCTAACATGCTGTTCTTTAAATAAAATCAAATAATTCGGAACCTTAATGCCTAAGGAGAACATTTGAATGAGGAGGGTATCAGCCTGGGCTGTTTTCAGCTTTTGGCTGACTATTGATTTGTGCAAGTACTCCAACTCAGCAAGCTCAGATTGTTCTTTTATGTCTTTTAGTTTAACATTTTTGGGTCATGTTCCATCTTGAAATTCAGTTTGAATCCAGGTTTTCTCATTATGTTAGCTAGATTCAGGTCATGGCCCTTCTCTGATTGAAAATTATTTTAGACGTGTCCCACACTTTCTCTTTCATGCTGTATGAAAGGAAAATTTGGGGGGCGAGGACAGTGTCTTTATTTGGACTGGATTGTGGAGCTAGATTTGCTGACAATCTGGGAACTGGGTGGAGAGGGGGAGATATCTAGCTGCTCCTTTGGAACAAAACCAAAACTAGCTCACTATGACTGCTAGGCATGCTAAAAAGTTTTATAGAAGAGGAAACTTCAGCAGGTGCTCTTTGTCACACAACCAGGTGACAAACACCACCTGCTGAATTCCTTGCTTTTACATAAATATTAAAAGTACAGGAAATATTTCCAGTTTTCACTTCAAAAACCCTACTGC